CATGTGCAAGCAGCTTTTTATGGGGGCACTCAGAGGAGGGTAAAAATGCTTCCCAAACACCTGTCTGATGCCTGCTGACAAAGCTATTGTGAACGTAGCCAAACTGTGCCTAAGCAGTATTCTGAAAAATGTTCTTTTTGGCCTTGAATGCCTTCTCAAAATAGTAGTGCGTGTCTTGGCTTATAGGTGTGCCTCTACCAAGATGCCTCCTCTACACAGAGAAGGTGCAAAACAAGGCATGGTAAGTCAGTAAGAGCTCTTTCAGATGGGCAGTAAAATAGCAGCTGATCTGCAGGTTTTAGGGCCCCCCCCCCCCCCAGTGGTGTATTTAGGTTTTGTGCTGCCCTAGGCAACACAAAAAATTGGCTCCTCCACGGAGAGACCCTGACACCGACCAACACCCCCTCTGCCCCATGAATAGAGCCTGACATTGACCGACAACACTGCAAAACGAAACAAAAAAAATGAGAAGCGCACCAACCTTGCGCATTACCTCAGTTACCAAAGTTTATTGATTATAAAATGATACAAACAGCGAATAAAATCAGGCATGTAGGTCCTCAGAGGGACCTGAAAGATAAAGAACCAGCGTGGATCCCATCATGGGGGTGGATACTCAGTACAGCTGACACGTTTCGAACGGCGTGGATGAAGAAGGGACGCCCTTCGAAACGCATCAGCTGTACTGAGTATCCACCCCCATGATGGGATTCGCGCTGGCTCTTTATCTTTCAGGTCCCTCTGAGGACTTACATGCCTGATTTTATTTGCTGTTTGTGAGTATCATTTTATAATCAATAAACTTTGGTTACTGAGGTAATGCGCAAGGTTGGTGCGCTTCTCGTTTTTGTTTAGTTTTGCAGTATTGATCGGGCTTCCCCAGCCTTGTTTGGAGCTGCACAACTCTACATGCTGCACTGGTGGTCGATTTTTTCCAGGTCTGGTTCCATCTATTCGCCACCCACCTGGGTCCTAGAGCGCAGGAGAATTCGTTTTTGATCTAGTGACCGACAACACCCCAGGGCCCCCACCTCCACCCGAGAGAGCCTTTTACTACCACTCCCCCCCCCCCCCCCCCCCATACACTGGCAAATGCCCCCCCACTCTGGCAAGAGATAAGACACTCGCCTTCACAGCTCCAGACATCCCCTGGAACAAGAGTTAGGCTTTGCATACACCATTAGCAGCCTGCAGCCTCTCTCAGATCCCCGTGCTGTATGTGTCCCTTCTTCCTTTCCTTCTTTCATGGGATGGTACTGCCTCCCTGAAAAAAGCTGCTGCCTCCCTGAAAAAAGCTGCCCTAGGCAAATGCCTTGTTTGCCTTGTGGTAAATACACCCCCCCCCCCCCCCCCCCCCCCCCCGGCAGCTCACCTGAACTGTCAAGGCTGTATACATGCCACATTGCTTTGCTCCATGGCCACAGCATTTCTTTACTCTGGGTGCAGCGTTTGACAGGTGGCACTGCTGATCAAACTCTCCCATTAAGTTCAGTGGGGCCGTGCCCCCATGAAGTGCATTGCAATGGCAGAATGATAGTGCAGCATTACAGGGTTAAGTCAAGGGATGAGGAGGGGAGAATACCTTCTCACCACCTGTCAAATACCCTCTGAAAAATGATCCAGAAGCAAATCACTCTTCAGAAGGGCACCACAAGTGTGAAAGAACCCTTAAGGATCAGCTGCAGGGAAACCACAGGCAATGAGTGACTAGTCGTGTGCCCTCTGCCTTTCTTTATGTACAGCTACCAGAGTTTAGTGTTCCTCTTTAACCTAGAAATAGAAAAGTGATCTGCTTGTAGAAAAGGCAGAACGTGGGGGAAATGTTGCTTCAGTAAGCACTGTGTTTATTGAGCCATTCAGCACATCCACCCATCAAAAAGAATCCGTCACAGTGGGCATTTATAATAATCATTCCTGGCCAAAATAAAACCCTTCTGTGCACAGAATTCCCCCCCCCCCCCCCCCCCCCCCTCCCCACAGAGTGCGCCAGATCACCCCCTGAGCTCGATCGTGTTTTAGATCTGTGCCCCAGAGCAGTGACTGTCTCTGCTTTCTCTTTGCTCATTGGCCATGGAGGCAGCGGCAGGAGCCAACGGGAGAAGGGGGCACGGCTGAGTCGCGCTATGTATGTGTGTCTATGGAAATGCAGAGCATGGCTCAGGATCGAGCCTGCATAAGTGCCCCCATAGTAAGCAGCTTGCTATGGGGGCACTCAGCAGAGTGGAGGAGTCAGGAGCACCAGCGGAGGACCCCAAAAGAGGAGGATCACAGCTGCTCTGTGCACAACCTTTGCACAGAGCAGTTTAATATGATGTTTATTTAAAAACAAAAAAAACAAAAGACCTATACAAAAGTTTTATAAAATCCAGTAAAATGAACTAATAGTAAAGGGATGTGGGGCACAAGTGTTTTTATTTTAAATGCAAATGAAAGGCCAGAGCTGGTGCTTATCGCATGTATCCATTCACATAATTGGTTACATGTGATCAGTGCCTATGATGGAGCCGGCACACAGATGGTTTACGTCTAGGGTCACCACCCAACCTGTGATTTCTAGCTTTCACAGGGATCCCCGAGATAAGGATGACACCCTTGGCCTAGAGCACCTTCCTCTAGAGGGCTTGAAATGCAGGCAAAACTTTACCCAAAAGTCACACGGGAGCTGCATACACTTTTGGTATTTGGTGAACATGTGCTCAAGGCCAAAATTGAGAACTGAAGCTTGTGTATATAGTTTGTAGCTACTGTTCGCTTTAAATTTTAATCATACTTTTATGCTTGTTTGATTCTTGAAAGCGTGGAAAACATACAAGACACACTTCTTCTTGGGCTAATCACATGCCTTTGGAATTAAAAATCAGGTTTTCCCACAGTGTATTATTCAGATGCATCACAAGGATGTATGTTTGATCTGCTTTTGATTTGTTACCATAGAGCTCTCTCAGATGTGTTCACATGCTGTGACTGCACAGTAATAGGTCCAGGCATTTGTAATAGTATCATTTAATTAAAAAAAAAATGTAAATATGACTTCTGGCTGGTATGCATGAGTGTGAAAGGAAGGAGTACCTGGTGATATCCAGCTACGGTTTGTTGCCAAGCCAGGCTTGGGGGGCACATGGATACATTGTGGGAGATTTACTAAAACTGATACACTCAGAAATGGATACCATGCACAGCTGCAGCAGATTCTAACTTCAGCTTGTTCAATTAAAGCAGTATTAAAACCAAAAGCAAACATGTATTATGTTGCAGCTTACCATTTCTTAGATGTGATGGCTACATTAGGTTTCCTTTTTTTTTTTTTTTTAATAATATATTTTCATGTGGTGATCCAGCAAGCAAGTCTATTGTTTTTTCAAAAGCTCAAGCTCTCCACTAGAAAGTATCAGTTTACACGAATCAGACAAACCATTTACCACTGGCGGGGGTGATTAAAATGATCAGCTTTTAATTATGTAATTCCTTTATGCCAAAAGGGAAAAAAATAAAAACGGTTTGCTGTAACTGGTTATAAAGTGTGAACTGGAGCAGAAAATTGAAACCGCCACAACACTGAATAATTGGCAAGCTGCAATATAATACTGTTTTGGTTTTGGGTTTAACCGCTTCCACGCCGCCCTATAGCAGAAATAATGCTACAGGGTGGCACGGGTGTGCAAAATCACCCGTGGCCTTGGCTGTCAATCACTGGGTCCTGACCGGTGATTCCCCGGCGATCTCTGAGGATATCCGACAGGGGAGAGACCTGTATGTAAACCTAAACCAAATAGATCTCTCCCCTGTCAGCTCCTGCACACTGCTTTGTACGGCTCTGCATCTCATTAGAAGCATCCCCCGACTTTGTCAGGAATGCATACAAGCACGTGGGGTCCATACAAACTACTGAGTACCATTTTGAGCTGCTGCATTGAAATTTCAGCAGAATAGACTAGCCTGCTGCATCATTTTTTCACCTTGATTTTCGGGGTGTCTTTGAATTCAGTCCTCTGTAGGTTGATATTTTAATTTCCATCAAATGATAGGGCATCCTTACGTTCCTAACACATTACCCAGTCCATATCAGTATAGATACCCAGCATGATATTTTTCCTCAATGACATCTGATGGCAATAAAGCCCCTAATGGTTGGCAAGGAAACACAACTATTCATATCCCATCATTATTGGATCTTCTTGCACTATTGCCAGGTACACACCCAGCAGCAGGCAGAATCAAACAACACTTTACTTAAGTGAACACCAAACTATCAATTCAGCTTACGATGCGTACAGCCAAGTGGTCCTAAATTTAAAGAGTTTCTCCTGTTTAGGGTAGGGTGGCTACACATCAGAAATATTGATGCATTGGACCACCATTGACCAAAGGCACATGTACCGCTCCATTCTGCTCTATACACTATATACAGTAGATCAGTGCAACTCAACGCACTTGGTGTGAACTCAAAGTCCTGTACAAAAAAAAAAAAAATGCATGAAATTGCTTTATTATACTACAACTTGTGATTATTTGCATTCTTTCATTTAAATAAATGAGATCTAAAAAAAAACCATTGCAGTGATTGCTTGAGGTGAGCTGAGGTTGATTAGACTTGCAGTCACACAAATAAAATTTGCCCCCGGGTGCTCCTGGCCGTAATGTTTTCTTACCATTCCCTACCAGTGGGAAATTGCTGTTTTTAGGTAAGCAAGGGTCAAATCAAAGTCTTGAGATTGCTGCTGTCCTAAGAGAACAGTTTGTGATAATGTGCATTTTGATCACCACACCTTCTGTATGTGATGTGAGGGCTCTTACGTTTGTAGTATCTCATTAGGTGTTCCTTGTGCTTCTGCAGGCAAGAAGTCACCATGAAGTGAACATTCCAAGGATTTTTCTGTTACAAGTAGTGAAACATTGGTGCTTCCTTCACAAGTGGGTGCTCTCTATATACAGACCATGTTCTGAATGTTTCAGCTTCCTTGCTGTCAGGTGTATGCTTTAATACACGGAACACAAATTTAATGACTGCAGAACATACTCCGTTTATAATGGACGACTATACCACCAGGACCTATGGAACAGGTGGCCTGGACAACAGACCTTTGTTCGGGGAGACCTCTGCCAGAGTAAGTACTTTCTATTCTATTTTTGGTTATATTATAGATCAACTTAAAGTGGATCCCTCGGTGTGTGTGTGTGTGTGTGTGTGTATGTGTATATATATGTGTGTATATATATATATATTTAAAATACATTTATTTATATTTTGCCATTTCAAAATATACAGCAATGTTTTTTTTTTTTTTTTTTTTTTTTCTTCAAATTCTCTGTAGCCTTTTTTCATGAAATCTCCAGGAAAGTGACTTTACCTAAGTTCAGATGTCTTCAGTCTGTTGCAGACAGGTGGAGGCATTTTCTCAGTGTCTTCTTCCTCAATGATCAGACTGCGGCATTGTTACTTTACAGCAATTCGTAAGGTGTAAGGCTGCAGTAGGGGGCTGATCTGTGTCAGACATTCGTGAACATGGCCAAGACCATCAGACACCTAGGGAATTACATTTGGTCATCTCTGAGCAAGTATTTAAAAGTAAATGCTGACCCTGAGTGGTGTTTGAACAAAGATGGCTCCATCCTTCAGATAAAGGCATTGTCAGGGGGAGTACTATAATTATAAATGCCTGCAAGTGATAGATATATGTGAACTTAAAGTATAACTAAAATCAAAACCTCCCCTTTTTCTTAAAGCTTGTAGGAGGAGTTTCCATTCTCCTCTCATTGTCCTATGAGACTGCAGTACCCCTGACCCTCTGGACAGTGCTGATTGATCCTGTGCTGATCACATGCACTCTCCCAAGAAAAAAAAGAAATCTGCTGCAATACACACCAAACTGAGCATGTGCAGCTTGCCCCCAAGCCTCTGCTCTATCGAGAGATGAGTCAGGGACAGTAGAAGGGGAGGATCAGAGAAGACAGGATTAAACATCCTTTTTACACAGTGAATTGTATTAACCCCTTAGGTTCCACAGTGAGTATAACAAGCATGCTTTACTACATATACAGACTGATTTTACTGTTGTGGGTTTAGTAACAGTTTAATTGGTATAATCACCAGGAATAACGGCTAGGTTAAATCAAAAATGTTTGAGTTCATGGGAAAATTGTTTCAACTAGCTAAGATGGTATATCCCTCACATTGAAAAGATATATCCTCTCACATCCTGTGGAGTCTACATGAAGAGAAATCTTCCTGATGAGAAATGGCAAAAAAAAAAGGCGCGGTTTAAATCTCCCCCCTACTTTTATCTCCCAAAAATGTTTTGGCTTGAAATATATACTTTATAAAAAAAAAACCAACAAAATAAAACCCAATTGTCTGATGCCAGCAGCAACTGTACGTGATATTTCAGCTCTGACAGCTGGATTACCTGCGGGTTTCTTTTCTCTTCTGGAGATCTCCTATATTTCTATTAAAGTTCTAATAATGGTGCTGTTCCCCTGCAGTCAGGGTTCCCCTCCCAGGTATAAAGCCAGCATTTGATTTGATCTGCCACCAAGCACATAATGTTAAAGGCTAATCCTTCCTTTCTGACCATGATTAATGTTACACTCATATTTGGGGTGTAACATGCAGCATGAGCCAGTTCCTCAGCCCCCCCACCCTCAAACCAAACCACCCCTTCTCATAAAGTGGTTGGAAAACTTCTGCTACCTGCATGAGGCGTTTCTGACTCCCAAGGTATATGGAGCCTGTGATTGACAGCCTCAGCTGTACATGTTTCCCTATGAGATTGTGCAGAGGGGGGGTGTCTCGTCCCTTAACTCAGATTACACTCCGCTCCTAAAAACTGTGTAAACCCTATACTTTAAGCAGGTATAGAGAAGCAATTCTTGCAGATGAACGGGTACAACTTAGGAGGATTTGTCTAATCTCTGTGTATCAACTGAGGCTTGCCCTTCACTGGGTATATGTAAGGGTTTACAACCACCTTAACTGAATTGTGAGATGCGCCCCCCCCCCCCCCCCCCCCCCCCCCCCCCGTTTTTAGATATTAATGAAGCACAATTGCAGTGACGTCTCTGTACTTGTAGTTCATTGATGATTTTATTCCGCTCCATAACTGGAGGGTGTACCTCTGTACAACCTGGGACTGTACGAATAGCCTGCAGGAGTCTGTGCATTGCCCCTCAATGCACCATTTTTTTTGTTTTGTTTTTTTTCCTATTTCTCATAATGGATGTTTTTTATTTTTTCGTTTTAAAAAGGTGGACTATGATAGATAGATAGAGGGATAGATATCCCAGAGGTGTTCTGTTGGATTTAGGTCAGGTGAGCGTGGGGGCCATTCAATGGTATCAATTCCTTCATCCTCCAGGAACTGCCTGCATACTCTTGCCACATGAGGCCGGGCATTGTCATGCACCAGGAGGAACTGAGGACCCACTGCAGGGTCTGACAATGGGTCCAAGGATTTCATACCGATACCTAATGGCAGTCAGGGTGCCATTGTCTAGCCTGTAGAGGTCTGTGTGTCCCTCCATGGATATGCCTCCCCAGACCATCACTGACCCACCACCAAAACAGTCATGCTGAACGATGTTACAGGCAGCATAACATTCTCCATGGCTTCTCCAGACCCTTTCATGTCTATCACATGTGCTCAGGGTGAACCTGCTCTCATCTGTAAAAAGCACAGGATGCCAGTGTCAGACCCGCAAATTCTGGTGTTCAATGGCAAATGCCAAACAAGCTCTATGGTGCCGGGCAGTGAACACAGGGCCCACTAGAGGAGGTCGGGCCCTCAGGCCACCCTCATGAAGTCTGTTTCTGATTGTTTGGTCAGAGACATTCACACCAGTGGCCTGCTGGAGGTCATTTTGTAGGGCTCTGGCAGTGCTCATCCTGTTCCTCCTTGCACAAAGGAGCAGATATTGGTCCTGCTGATGGGTTAGGGACCTTCTACAGCCCTGTCCAGCTCTCCTAGAGTAACTGCCTGTTTTCTGGAATCTCCTCCATGCTCTTGAGACTGTGCTGGCGATCACAACAAACCTTCTGGCAATGGCATGTATTGATGTGCCATCCTGGAGGAGTTGAACTGCCTGTGCGACCTCTGTAGGGTCCAGGTATCGCCTCATGCTACCAGTAGTGACACAGAACCTGGCCAAGTGCAAAACTAGTGAAAAACAGTCAGAAAAGATGAGTAGGGGAAAAAAATGTCAGTGGCCTCCACCTGTAAAACCATTCTTGTTTTGAGGATTGTCTCATTGTTGCCCATCTAGTGCACCTGTTGTTAATTTCATTAACACCAAAGCAGCTGAAACTGATTAACAACCCCCTCTGCTACTTGACCAGATCAATATTCCAGGAGTTTAATTGACATGATGCTATACTTTTTAATCAGCGTGTGTATGCAATATATAAATAATATATATATATATATATATATATATATATATATTGCTCAGCATAAATATAAATGAGTACACCCCTTTTGCAAAGTAAGATTTTAACCGCTTCAATACCGTGCACTTTTACCCCCTTCCTGGCCAGGCCAATATTCAGCTTTCAGTGTTGTCGCACCTTGCATGACAATTGTGCAGTCGTGCAACCCTGTGTATATATGTGTGTGTATATGTATGTGTATATGTGTGTGTGTATATATATATATATATATATATATATATATATATATATATATATATATATATATATAGATAAAAAAAAATCATCTTTTTTTTTTTTTTTTTTTTCACACAAATTAGAGCTTTCTTTTGGTGGTATTTATTCACCACTGAGTTATTTATTTTTTACTAAATAAAACAAAAAAACCTGAGACTTTTTCTTTGTGTTGTAGAATTTGCCAAATAACATTTCTTCATAAATTGAGGTCAAAATGTATTCTGCTACATTTCTTTGAGAATACCCCAAATTGGTGTATATTATTTAGTACAGGATAGTACAAATACCTACCAAATTACCCATTTTTGGAAAATAAACAGTTCAAGGTATTTAGTAAGAGGCATGGTGAGGTTTTTGGAGGTTGCAATTTTTTGTTACAATTTTTTGGGAAAATGTAGCATTATTATTTTTTTTATTTATTTTTACATATTGTCACCAGTCCAGTACAGCGTTATTCTATAACTGGTGTGGTGGTGATCAGAGACTGGTGACAGTATATGGGGATAAAAAAATAAATAAGTGATCAGGATTTTTTTTTTTAACACATTATGATTGTAATACCAATGTATTTCATTTATATTTGCACTCTTTGTTACTGAATGAAACTGATTCATTCAGTCTCTTTGTTGTGATTAGCTGTGATTGTGCAAATCTCATCACATGATACAGATGGGCTGTGATTGGCCCTGTCTGTACCACGTGAATGCTTTGACCAATCACAGCTATCCACACAATTGTATACAATGGATGGCATGACAGGAAGCCATCAATTTGTATACAATTGACATGAGATCTGCTGTGATTAGTCACATGACACTGGCAACAAGCCGGTGTAGTGATATGTCATCAGCTGTGTCCCGTAGTGACAGATCGCGCTGCTACGCGGGTCCCACGGCCACGTGAGTGGCTCTTTTTTGACAGGATGTCCTATGATGCCCAGTCACAAGGAGTCCCGTCTGGCCATCAATCTGCTATAGGCTGGGCCAGAATGTTAATCAATATCTCAATAAACCTAAGAATAATTTCCAAAAACTGTGACAAAATTGAGTTTTATAGAACATTTGTTTCGCTCGTTACATGAAAGTAAGGTTAATAATATAACTGAGATTACAAAATCTTCAGTTTTACTCAAATTAGTTGGTGCAAAAATGAATACACCCCACAACAAAAACTACTACATCTAGTATTTTGTAGGACCTCCATGATTTGTAAGGACAGCACCAAGTCTTCTAGGCATGGAATGAACAAGTTGGCGACATACTGCAACATTGATCTTTCCATTGTTCCAGAACAACCTTTTTTTTTTTTTTTTTTTTTTTTTTTTTTTTTTTTTTTTTTTTTTTTTTAGAGCCTGGATGCTGGATGGAGAGTGATGCTCAGCTTGTCTCTTCAGAATTCCCCATAGATGTTCAGATCAGGAGACATACTTTGCCACTGAATCACTTTCAC